TCTTCTAAACCATGAAATATTCTTTTCTTCAAATATTTGCATATGAAACAAGGAACACAAGATCTTTGGAACATGTATTATGTCCATCCTTTTAATCATTTTTCAGAACATAATCTAACAATTGAAAATTGCCTCTTCACACTTGGAAGACAGAGTTAATTCCTAACACCATAACGATTTGTCTCATCACGGTGTGATATTTGTGGAGAGCTAAAATAGCATGACAATACAAACCCTTCTGGCTTAATGGGATTTCGAATGTAAAGGTTGAAACTTTACTCTGGACCCACACAAATTAGCATAGCGCTCCACCACTGCCTCATTCCTGTGTTAAAACAGCAGTTCTCAGTAAAATAAACAGTGGTGAACACAAAACCATAATGGAAAGAGAAAACAGGAAAGTCCATTTTGTTTTTCTAAGTCACAGAAGCCCAGAGTTCCCTGATACAACTTCATAGATGCGCAACTTGGTAAAGACGGGTTCACGGACGCCCGAGGGATTTAGGATTAGGCTCATCTAATAATGAAAATGTTTTAAGGTCTGTGTCACCAGGATACAGATGATACCATGTATCTGTTTGCTTACAGGGTAGAAAGAAAACAGTAGAGTAAGAACTTAATGCTCATGTATGTGAGTTGGTCATGGATTGCCCCTGTAGAGATAAACCAGAAAAAAAAGGACCCAAAGCCATCCTGAAAAGGTTTGACCTTTGCTGATGGCATGGGAGTAAAAATATATGTAAATGTGCCTTAGAAAGATCCAGATATATCTTACTAATTCGTTGTGCATATACGCTAGCTAAGGGCTACTGAAGCTATTGGCATCCAGAACTATAAAACTCATAAGAGAAAAATCTTTAGGAGTATGGGCTTACAGAAGAATTTTAGGGATGGTGCTAAAAGCATCATCCACAAAAGAAAATTCATGTAAATTGGATATAGAAACACTAGAAATTTGCTTTGTGAGGTCTCTGTTTAGAGGATGAAAGGACAGAGGTGGGAGGTGGCTCAGATGGGAAATCGCTTGCCACACAAACATGAAAACGTGAAATCCCAGCACTGCAAAAGTAGAGAAAGATGGATCCTTGCAGCTTGCTGGCCAGGCAGTCTAGCAGAATCTGTGGGCTCCAGTTAAAGGAGAGTCCTTGACTTAAAAGTTAATGTTGAGACTGAGTGACAAAGATACCCAGTAATATCCTGTTGCCTACACATAGGAAAAGATGTGCTGGTACTATCTTTCTCTGTCTCTGTCTGTCTCTGTTTCTGTCTCTCTGTCTCTCTCTCTCTAACACACACACACACACACACACACACACACACACACACACACACACCATGCACGCACACAAGCACCAAACAAGAGAAGATGAAAAAACAAACTAAGCTATAGGATGGGAAAGAATACCTCTAAGTCATGTTTGACAATCAGTTTGTGTATAGATATATGGGTAACATCACTACCTGTAGGGAAGTTCAACTTAAGATGCTACTATTCTGTGACTGTAAAACTGTCAGAGAAAATGACGTCATTCAGTAACAACACCAAATGCTAGTGGTGATGTTGAAGACATGGAGCTGTGATGCATTTGGTGACGGAAATGTAAAACGATGCTGCCATTTGAAAGTACTCAGGTAGTTTCAAAATCCAATTATATATTTATCATGCAGCCCAGCAGTCGTTCTCATGGACATTCAGTGTGTGTGTGTGTGTGTGTGTGTGTGTGTGTGTGTGTAGGCCAGAGTTCCCCGTTAGGTGTCTTACATTATTGCTGTTCACCTTACGTTTTGAGAAATGGTCTGTAGCTGAGCATTGAACTTACCGGTTCAGTGAGACCAGCTAGCCAGCTCTAAAGGTAAATATTCCTGGCGCTGAAATTGTAGGTGCAAGCAGCCACACCCTGCTTTTTATATGTACGAGAGAGTTAGAAGCACGGGTCATCTTGCTGGTGCTGCAATCACTTTCTTGATAATTGAGTTATCTCTACAACCTGTAAGTTCCTGTTTCTTTCAATGAAAGTCCCATTTTGTTTTTCTTCCCAAGTTAGCTACTAAGTAGTCTTAGGGTTCTAGTGCTGTGATAAACATCATGACTAACTGCATCTTGGAGAGGAAAGTGTTTATTGTATCTTATAGTTGTAGTCTTTGAAGAAAAATCAAGGAGGAAACTCAGCACAGGAACCTGGAGGTAGAAACAGAAACTGCGGAAGAACGCAGTGTACTGGCTTGTTCCTCATAGCTTGCTCTATCTGTTTTCTTCTGCAACCCAGGGACCCTGCCCAGGGGTGACATCATCCACGATAGAGTGAGCCTTCCCATATCAATTTTTAAGCAAGAAAATGCCCTATAGAGTTGCCTATGTGCAGCCTCAGACAGAGGCATGTTCTCAGTTAAGATTCCTTTTTTGTCTAGGTATGTCTTGGTTTGTATCAAGTGTACCAACTGGGACATGAGTAAATGGGTCTCTACCCCAACCTCTGGAGCATAGTCAATTTCGTCTCATTATATTATCTACTGTGGTAGCTGTCATACCTCTTAATGGTCACAAAAGACATGAAGCATCTTCTAGTCCTTGTGTACATTCCAAATAGAAAGACCTTCAAGATGACTTGACATTTAAGGGCATTTGTATAATAATCATGAAAACTTAAATTCAATCCCCAGATCTCACAGAGGAGAGAATGAAGCACAGCAGTAAACATTTGGAGCTCCATGTGTGGCTTTGAGCTTCTTGGTTTCAAAGGAAAATATGTTCTCTCACAAAATATACATGATTTCTTTGAGGTAATGAGCTAAGAATAATTCATTAAGGAAGGTTTCATAGAGAACGTGAATTTGTAGTGTCCTTAAAGAGAAGATGCAGGTTAGTGGGAAAAAAATATTTCCATTGCAGCTTGTCAAACACTGGTTCCTAGAAGATGTGGCTGTCTGGTGAGGATTCTGCCATGACACACTATCCATAAGGAACATGTACTCATGTGGCTGTATGGGTGAGCCTGTCTCAGGTGTGTTAGAAGGAGAAGGAGCCAAAGAATCCTGCTCTTTTGTTTTAGATAACAGGAATGTTGTAACTCATTTATTCATCCATTTATTCTTAAAATGTTTCTGCCATGTTGAATTTTGTCTGAACAGAACCCTGAAGTCCGCCTAGGCAGGATGGAAAAATGAATGCTTAAAACATACTCAAGGGGCCAGCCTTTGGCCCAACTGTAGGATGGAAACCAGGCTGAAAATAATGCAAAATGACAAAACAGGAGAACGGAGTGAAGGGCTTAATTCTGCTGGGACTGGTTGTTTGTTGTCTGGGAGCATGCCCATGTAGCAGTGTGTGAGCTGACTGGAGAGAGGGTGATGAGGTAACAGAGGCCACTGCTTGAGGGGCATCTTCCTGGGCAGAGTGATGTCACAGACCTTTCCAAGGCCTGGAAGTTGCTGCAATTTGTCTCTAATAGGTTTAATTTGATCATGGAGAACAGCATATGTGGGACCTGGTTTACAGGAGCATGCCTAGCTTATATTATTGCTATCTCTACATTTCTTTATCCTGCCTCTCTTAGTCTAGAGAAGACTCCTAGGATGCTTGCCAAGGTGACACTGATATGTTTGTTAAACTCTATCTACTCTTGCAATAATTTAAGACCTCAAAAAATAATAAAGAGGGAATTCTGCAGAAGTACACAGAGGAGTTGGGGCTCTGGACAGAACTCTCCTCTTTTTCCCTTCCTGCTTTGCCTTCTCATTTTCTTGTATTTCTGCCACCACACGAACATCTCACTCTTCTTTCCCCATGAGATAGAGGACCAGTTCGGTGGTGGGAGGATAAGTTTTATAGCTCCAAAAGCCCCATGTGGCAAGAGCAAAGGATCAGACACCGTTCAGATTCTTCTGGCCTACTCTCTGACTTTCCTACCTCATACCCTTTGACAAACACAGTGGAGATGCCCATTTTGAGTTTAACTGCAATAACTTGTGAACGTGCCCCACGGAGATCATGGAAGAGAGATGAGAGTGATCATAACCACTGCTGGCTCTAGAGATTTGGGATGTGAATGTTTTCCATAGTGCAGAAGATGTTTGAACTGTGCCAGACTTGTGCTCTAGGCCCTAGTCTGGTTTCATAAGGCACCCGAACTGCCCTGCAGTGCTGGACTCTCTCACTTTGCTACTGGCCTGACAAGACGATGTCACTATCCCACTATGACATGCTGCCCCACCCAGCCAGAGTAACCATCTCAGTTAGAGGTGGAGACTCAGTCAGCAAGGCAACCCCTTGAGTGACAGTCCTGGCACCTAGCTGGAAAGAGAATCTGTTTGAAACAGAACTCTCTGTTGAAAACAGAAAGTTGTGTTTAAAAAGGTAATAGCACAGCTTGGGATTTCTTGTGGGTGGAGAGATTTCTGGAGGAAAAGGAAAATGGAGCAGAAATGATTAAAAGAAAGGAAAGGTGGGAACTTCGAAGTGTATGTAAAATGAAGAGCTTCAAAGCAAAGGTGGAATGCGAGGGGAGAGGGGCATTTAGTAATAGGCTAATAGAAACCAGGCAGCTGATCTCTCCATTTGTCTCCATTCTTTCTTTTGTTTAGTTTGGGGTTTTTGTTTATTCTGTTTTGTTTCCTGGGGGTTTGAGCTAGAAATAAATTATTTTTGTAGTTGTCAATAGGCGTACATGAGTCTATCACATGTCCCTGAAATTTTTTCCTACTAGATAGAGTAAGTGCAGGCAAGAAAGGGAAAGGATCAGAATGGAAGAAATTTTAAAGATTTCTACATCCAATGTGATTGGTTCTGAGATCCCAAAATCAAGCTATGCTCTAGTTTGCTGGGAATTTAGTTTGTGTAGAGTGTTGAACTGAGTGTGGAAAAGTGAGAACATACAGTAAGGCTACAACTTGACTCTGTCTTGCCCAAAGAGTGTCCGATTTTTGCCAGCCCCTTTCTGGGTAATGACATGCTGGATAGTAGGACCTTCATTTTTGTGACAGATGTCTGCATTCACATCTAGGAAGCCAACGATGGAAGACATTGGACAGAACCCATTGGATAATGGGTAAGTGATACAATAGTGAGCCAGAAGGATGACTGCTCTGGAAGTTTCCTGCGATCCAGACCACAGTTGTGAGGGATGTTCCTCCTCAAGCCTGAGAGAGTCTGAGTAAAAATTTCAGTTCCATTTTCCCTTCATCAGTCTGACATGGTGGGACTTTCTGCAAAAGCTACCCAGTCTCCCAGCACACTAGCCTGGTGTAGGGGAAAGGTCTAGCCCCTTCCCTTATTTCCTCCCACCCGAGGCTTCTGACAGACTATACAGAAAGTATTCAAGTTTGTGACAAAAAACTTAAGAAATTTCTTTCATTTTCTAATCTGTAAATGCCTTATAGGTGTTGCTATGATTCCATATTCTTCGTGTAAAATTTTGGAAGGAACAAGTTAGAGTACAACCATATATATATATATGTGTGTGTGTGTGTGTGTGTGTGTGTGTGTGTGGTTTTTCCTTTTGCTCACAAAACATTTGCATTCTAGTATCACTCATAATACTTAAAATTATAATGTGACATGACATACATACACACTTAGAAATTGGTTTATTATGAACTAACTAGGCACATAAACAGCAGGAGACTGAAGAGTGAGAAGTCAGGGGTGTTGGTCCGAGTTCAGTTCTGAAGGCACTTTTCCTATAGGCATGGGATAACAGAAATACCGACTTTAGAAGCCGCAAAACAGCATCTCAACTACCTGAACTTCAACCTTGAAAAGGATCTGCAACGGCTGGACGAGGCCAACCAGCTTCTTCTCAGAAAGATTCAAAAGAAAGAGAAATCTATTCAAAGGTCAGGCTTTGCCCTTGGTGAAGGTGAAGCCCCTCAAGTCATGTCCATAGGTTAGAGGGAAGTGGAGGGAGTGCTGTGGGAAGTTCACTTCCCTCAGGGAAAACTCAGTGTGTTATTTAAATCCTGAAACACGAACTGTGATGCCCTCAAAAGGCTTGGCACAGATCTTTGCATTCAATTTTTTCATTTAGTTGACATTTTATTGCAACTGTCAACCCAAGATGTTGGCAGTGTGCTTTTGGCTTCCTAAGGACTGAGCCACACCTGAGTTAACTGTTTTTCAGTCTTGAAAGAGAAATTGCTTTGTCCACTGAGAGAGTCCCAGAGATGGATGAGTTCAATGAGATCGCAATACAAAAGGAGAACGCCCTGAAGGACCTGGAGCTGGAGACAGCAAAGCTGGTGAGATTTCTAAAAGAGACCCTTAGATGGCTTCTGCGCTCATCCTTCTTTTCTTTCTCCAAGAGGCTCCGCATAGGCACTGCCTCTGTCACAGCTGCTTGGTCGAGTTCTGTGGCAGAGGCGCTAGTCATGGGGACAAGACCTTGGCTCTCTCCCAGATGCCCCATCTTGGACCAGGGTGTACTTTTTCATTTAACTTGACCCATTGATCCCTACATATTATTTATGTTGCCTTGGTAAGAGAAAAGGTTGAGATCAGAATCCGTTTGTTTCCTTAATTTCCTTCTTCCTACAGGAGGAAAAGAACAAGACCCTCAGTGAGAAAATCATGCAACTTCAGGATAGGGTAAGGAGATCCCCCAGGGTGTAAGGTACCCCATTTCCTGCAACATTGTCATTACAAAAAAAAAAGGCTGGTGGAATGGGCATTAGATATAAGAGATGAGTTCTGGGAGGATAGTCAGATATAGACATTATATATATGTACATATATATCTTTATTAATTATATGTAACCATATAAAATATAAGTGATATACTGCACACAAATGAAGGAATTTTTTAGACACTCAGAGTCCATCTTTGAAATGTGACTGTTTTCACTTCTGCTAGTGAAGATTCCAATCTAACTTTATCCTAGCTCATAATAGAATCCTAATAGAGTTGTTATTGTCCTAAACTCTCTAGTCAGAAAAACAAGGAGAAGGCAGTAAAATTTCTGTGCTCACAACCCCAGTCACCTTCAGAGACTTCAAACAGACACAAATACACCAGAATACACCAGCCTTTGTCCTCTGATAAGGGCAGACCATGGGGAGAAGAACGAACTACAAAGCGAATGATGATTTACCACTCCTCCCCTGCTCCTACTACTGTGTCCATTCCCCTCGCCTTGCTGAGAAGCTATGATGGTCTTGGGGACAGAAAAGATGTCCACTCAGGGCTTAGTGGTTAAAAGCACATACTCAGGCAGAGAGCCTGAGTTCTGTTCCCAGTGCCCAGGTCAAGTGGTTCACAACCGCTTCAATGTCAAGCTCCAAGAGATTTGACATCCCCTTCTGGATGCCAAAGACAGTTGCACTCACATGCACATACCTACACACGCATGCACACACAAACACATGCACAACTACAAATAATTATGAATTTAAAAGAATGAAAGTCTGTCCACTTAGTATGGAGTTAGGCAGCTTCCACAGGGCTAAGGAGACATGTTTCCGTCTAAGATGCTTCAGTACCCAAACTGGTACCCACACTGGTCTGCTAGTGAAGACTCCAGTCTAACTTTATCTTAGCTCATCTGTTTGCCTTGATCAGTTCAGTTATTGGGATGATGTTTCAGATTTCAACAGAACTTAAGAATCCTAGCCCTGATCCAGAAACCCTGAAAAAGAAAATAGCAGAATTGAAGGTGAGTAGAATAGCACCCTGGGGAAGATTGTGTGACATATATCAATTTTGGGTTCTGGGAGGCTGTTTCCATAGTCTCTCCCAGGTGTGACCCAGGCATGTCCATTTGTGCCTTAGTGAAGAGCTGGCTTCCTTTATTACCATGGGGCATCTTTCCATTCCATGCTAGAAGCAGAGGGGCCTACCTTCCCTTCGGGTGAAGGGAAGGGCTCAAACGTCTCATCAGTTAATGAAACACCTTCCACAAATGTACTGGGGTCTTCCCTGAAGAAGTTTATAACTAAATGAGGACAACACAAATACAGACATTCAAGTAGGAAAAAAAATGCTAGTGTCCACAGTTAAATAAGGATGCATCAATGATCTTAGAAGGTTCGCCAAGCTGTGGCTCATTGAGTACGTCTTATTTTCAAATTTTTATTCTGTTTTTTTCCTCTACTAGAAAGTATAGCAACTGAGAATATTAGTTGGTAAAACTATATCATTTGCACCCCAATGTCTAGAACATTTTAGCACATAGCCGATGTCTAATGGTATTTGTTAATGGACAAATGGAATGAACTCAAATTGGGAGTAAAAGTTACTGAGAAGCTCTCTGCAGTTTTAGGGGGCAGGTGTGCCATTTGGCTAAGCCCACTGTCAAAAGCCCCAATTGTCTGCTTTCCTCTGGAAAAGTGGGCTACCTCCTATGACCCTCCTGTGATTTAGACAGCATGCATGCACCATCCTGAAAGAGCGGGAGAAAGGGGCTGATGGGCTTCCGTCAGTAGGAGGAAGGAGAATGGCCAGACTCACCGGAGAGTCTGCCCACCAAGGCTTAAATGCGAGATCTGCCATTCTGAGATGTGGTTGTGCATATAGCTTCTCTTTGCCTTAGTTTTCTCATCTATGAAACGGGTAATGGCCATATCCTCACTTAATTGTCATTTGTCCTCAATACACCAGAGGCACTCTGAGTTTGTTTTCTGCTACCTTGCGATGTCCTTGCACAAAGGAATGCTGTTCACTTTCTGCTGCTACCATCTTCCCTAGGTGAAACTACGAAAGTCAACCAAGTCCTGTGCACAACAAGAGAAGGAAATAGCCAAGGTTTGATTAGATCGGCGCCTTTTCCACTGAGTGTCGACCTAGAGCATAAACACAAGGGAAAGCCCGAGGGTCTTAGAAAGCTTTCAGGGTATGGGAAGGGTGGAGCAGGAAAACCTGGCAAGTGAATTTCTGACTCACAAGATAGGTGGAAAAAACATTTTCATTAAATCCTAGCCTTAACATTTTTTAAAACACTCATCTGCCCCAGCTACCTTGTAGAATCTCAAATCTAAAAGTCATATTGTATTCCCTCTTGTTTCCCAGAGAGGCACAGGGCAACATGGGTGAAGTTTTCCCCCTTCCCCACTCAAAACTGGGCCTTATTCCTGAATGATGAGGTCACCTTTTGCGAGGTGGTTGTTTCCCTTCAAGTAAGGAGTTGCTAAGTAACGGACCACATGTCCAATGTACAAGGCAGGTTCCCAGGGAAACAGCCAAAACTTGGTACTGACTGAACTCATGAGGTTCATTTGCTTTCTTCTTTTTCTAGATGCAAAGTGACTACCAGTCTGTACATGAACTCTGTGAAGACCAGGCCCACTACATAAAGGTACAGTGTTACTGGGGAAGTCAGAATGGAGACAGATCTCCCAGAGTCAGGAGAAAGCCATTATTATTATTATTATTATTATTATTATTATTATTCTCCATCTGCCATGAGAAATGCCTTTTATTCAACAGAATGGCCACCAAATATGAGTGCTCTTAGACAATGTGCTGAACCCTGCTATGCAAAGCTCTTTGACCAATTGGTTTCGTGTTTTAGTATTTCCCTGAACCCATTTGTCTAGTAAGGCTGAGGAGTTCTGGGAGGACACCGAGGCTTCGGGGAGCGAGGTTACATGCTCTGGGAACTTCGTTAGTCCAGTTCAGATCTGGGATTTGAGTACAAGCAAGGCCTCCAAGAGGAACTTTGGCTCTAGAAGCCCATCCTGTCACTAACTCCTCTGATTTTTTTTTATGCCCCTTATTTTATACACCCTGATGTGAGAGAGGTATTTGGAATGTTAGGAATTCATTTTAGTGCGAGATTCCTGTCAGTGACTTTGAAATAAAAACACAAATTCTCTTTATGATGCCCGCCCCCACGGGAAGAAATACCAAGAAATTCTGAGGGAGATGGAGAAGGAACAAGAAGTAACGCTGCTGGAAAAAGAAATGTAAGTCTGGGAAATGGCGCCCCCTGGTGGACTGCAGTGCCTGCCCCGGGCAGTTCCCTGCAGGGCAGAGCTTGGGAACAATTGGTGTCACTGAGTAAAGGGCCTACAGCAAGCAGGTCATCCCTGGCAGCCTCCGCTCAGACTGAACAGTCATCAGCATTCAGACTGGTCTCCTACCCAATAACTGGGACCTGAAATGTTTTGATACCTGCTCTTTTCCTATATCCTTGGTTGAACACAGTGTCCCCAACACTACTCAAGCTAGATTCAGAGATGAAAAATTATAGCCAAGAGATGCTACGTGCAAGGTACAGATATTACTGGCATCTGTGTGTGTCACAACCTTTCCTAGGAGATTGACGCCATAGAATGACCAGAAATCTGTAGATGTAGTTCACAGAACTTGACCCCCTTTTTTCTTGCTTATACTTCTTAGTTGTATCACATATTATACAATATGCATAGGCTGAACACATCTTAAAGATGTAGCTGATAGTTTCTTCTATATATCAGCACACTAGGACCACTTAGATCTCCATATAGACTATCATAAGCCCCAGAAGTTCCTCAGACCCTCTACCCCCTCAATACCCCTGGCAAAGGTAACTACTTAGGCTGACCATTTAAAATTCTAGCCTTGATTTTTCTAAGAATTCAGTCTATCTTCTCTGCGTCCGACTTTCACTGAGGCTTAGCTCTGCTACATCATGTGACCTGCTCTTTATAATATTCCATTATATGAATACGACTCAATATCTATCACTGAGGAACACTTTGGCTATTTCAACTTTTGGGATATTAAAGTCTGCTAGAAAACATCCTCATGTATGCCTTTTGGTAGATGTATCCTTCCATTTTTGAGGGGTCATTGGGTACACATATCTTTGTTGTACTAGGTGAAATAATTTTCTTTCGTGTTTGTATCAGTATCTTCACCCACGACAACAGCACAAGAATGCTGGGCGGAAAGATGGCTCAGGGGGAAAAGGTGCCATTCCTATTGGCTTGTTCTTTTCCTCGGGCCTTGAGCTCAGTTCTCAGGAGAATGCCTCGTTCAGGATTTCCCCCAGACATTTATTGTTTCTACTTGTACTCATCTGAAATCTGTCCTTCCTGTGTCCAGCCAGCTCTGCATAGTCTTTAAACTTCCACGTGTTTAAAACTTTTAAGTCTAAAGGGAGGCTCTGTTTGCCGCGCACCTGGTGGTTTTCTCGATTGGTAGACCTTATGCCTGTGAGCCTCTTTTTACATGCTTTATTCTATACACTTAATCTGTGTCTCTGTCCTTTTTCCTAGACTCAACTGTCTAAATTATTATAGCTTTCTAGTTAGCCTTGATATAGGGTAGATGCAGCCTACAAGTGTTTCACTCTTATTTTTGGACCTATGAGCTTCAGTACAAATATTTTGTCAGTTTCAATTTCTACCAAAAACACAAACATCAAAAAACAACTTACTGAGGTTTAGATGGCAATTATTGGGATCTGTGAATAAAACTTGGAGGTTAATTAATGTCTAGCTAACAGTTGTTCCAACTTTATCCATCCATTGATTTAGATCTTTACCTCTCCTTTAGTGTATTGTCTTTCTGTGCAGTAATCTTATACATCTTTAGTCATGCTGATAGTTTTTGCTATTGTAAGTGTTCTGCTCGTTTGGTTTTATGGCTGATAACTGCTACAGTGCAGAGCTGCATAGGCTCTGATAAACTGAATTGTATCCATTAGCGCTGCTGATTACTTTTGAGTCTTGATTACACACGGATCACTAGGGGCCAGCTCCCACATTACCAGGGAAGCCCATTCAGATGTTTGCTTTGACAGCCTTGACCTCTGCACTCTGCCTCCTCAGCCAGTTGATGTCGCCGTCGCCGCTGTCTGCTTGGACCACAAGGAGAGCCTTGGTGATGAGTAGCTCCCCTGGGTTTCTCTTGACTTGAGCGCTTGCTCCCCTTTGACCCCTGACGGCCGTCTCCGATAGAGTCGGTGGTGCATTTTTCCCAGTTTTATAGTTACTTTTGGAAGTGGGCTCCTCTGACCCAAACCACGTCATCATGGAAGAGCCAGGAGCCTGTGCCGATTCTCCTTTTACACCCTGATTGATTACTATAAGAGGAGATACCCATAAAAGTGCTGGAAAAGTTTACTGTATTAATTCTGTAACCGGAAACAACTCTAAGTAAAACAAATAAACTAACAATGACCAGAAGGGTTTGAAGAGAGAAGAAAAGCAGGCAGACGTTAGAGAAGAGTTGGCAGTTGAAGAGGAGAATGGCAGGAAGTTGTTCCCTCCAATGTGGTGCCTTGTGGCCTGAGGTCAAGCCAAACATTGTGTGTATTGTGTGGATGGAATAGTTTAAACTTGGAGGGAAAAATAGAAATTGGGCTACTAGGAAGAAAAAGATCCAGACATCAGGAGTTTCTGGATATCATTTTATGGTAGGTTAGACCCACACAGTCTGTTTCTGGTGATCGCTCACGTTTGGATCTTTTGTTTTGTTTTTGTTTGTTTGTTTGTTTTTTGAGACAGGGTTTCTTTGTAGCTTTGTAGCCTGTCCTGAAACTAGCTCTTATAGACCAGGCTGACCTGGAACTCACAGAGAACTGCCTGCCTCTGCCTCCTGAGTTCTGCGATTAAAGGTGTGCGCCACTACCACCCAACTTCCAGTCGGGTCTTATAACCTCAGTGGGGCTGTTCACCGACTGCTCTGAGAAGTTCAGTTTGAAAGTCAGCCAAAGATTTAGGCCAAGTTTAGGTACAGATTATCTTTCTCTTAAGAATGGAGTATGGGCTGGTTAGTTTTATGTCAACTTGACACAAGCTGGAGTAACTGGAGAGGAGGGAACCCAAATGAGAAGATGCCTCCATAACATCAGGCTGTAGGCAAATCTTAGGGCATTTTCTTAATGAGTGATTGATGGTAGAGGGCTCAGCCCATTTTGGGTGGTGCCATCCTTTGGTTGGTGGTCCTGGGTTCTATTAGAAAGCAGACTGAACAAGACTAGAGGAGCAAGCCATAAGCAGCACTCCTCTATGGCCTCAGCATCAGCTCCTGCCCTGTTTGAGTTCCTGTCTTGACTTCCTTCAGTAACGATCAGTGATGTGGACATATATTATTCCTCAAGTCGCTTTTGGTCATTACAGCAACAGAAACTCTGACCAGGACAGAATGGGGCTGGGATGTTGCTTAATGGTAGAATATTTGCCTAGAACATGTAAGGTCCTTGATTCACTTTTCACTATACCCCCACCAAAATAAATAAATAAATAAAAGGATATGTGTGACCTGGAGGCAGAAGTTGGAGATCCTTGTGGGAGAAAGGGAATTAATCAGAGAGGAAGGAAGAGTCACCAAGAAGTCATGTGGAAAGGGGAAAAAATTGGAAGAAAGCATAATAAATCATGTGTGAGAAAAAGCCATCCAATTGTATGGTAAATTTGAAAATAATTGGAAAAGAATCAGTCGTGTTTCCCAATGTCTTTGTATGATTTTTCAGGCATGTCACAGGTATTTCATGACTTAGGAAAGCTCTTGCAGCAGTTCCTTGGGTTGTCTCAAATGATAACTGGCTTTGATCTTTTGTGTTGTTTTAAATGCAGGTCCAAAGCCCAGAATGACTCTTCCCAAAAAGTGAAACCTGGGGCAACTCTGGTAGAGACCATTCAGAGCAACATGGTGAGTCCTGCCTGTCCACGCTTGGGCTTTTCCCTAGTCCTTCTTCTTCCTGGGACATCTCTCTCACACCCCTCCTCCTTTTAAAACTTCCTAGAGCTAGAAAGTGAGTTTCTGTTGCCTGGCACTACACCACGGCATCTAGGAAAAGGTAGAGCCAGAATGCAAAGATGGCCGACCGAACTGTGAAGTCTCTCCTTGTAGCATCCCTCTCCCATCCCCACCCATTGCGCCACTTCTCTTTGAGATTCCGGCCACCATGTTCATTACTTTCCACAGGAGAAGAACATCATTAAGAAAGAGAAGAAGAAGTTTTTGTTTAGGTAAGTGGCAGAATTGTGCCCCTGACCTAGTTGGTCCAGGCCACATTCGCTGTGCAGTTGACTTGATACAGGCCAGAAGAATGAGTATTAGCATCAGACAGATAGTCATGCAGTCTGAGTTCCCTGAGCAGAGTTTCTATCTACAGAGTTAGGACAGCAGACTTGCATGGCTCTAAATAGCTGGAGGAATTAGTGGCTCCTTCCGAGACACTCGGGATGAAAGTCGTAGGTTACATTTCATTTCGATTCCTCTATGTCCCCCCAGTGTGCTCCCTTTTGGCTTTTCAGATGCTGGCATCCCAAACCTTTGCTACCTTTATTGAAAAAGGAGGACAGGGTACATTAACTTTCGTTGCTGTTTTACTGTGGGCTGAGAAATTATAGGGGGGGAAATCACTTTCATTCTGTCTTGTCTTTTCTCAAATTTTTTAAAATAAAGAGACTTACCTTCAGTTTTCTAGAATTACTTGCTATAGGAGACATAAAGAGCACCATGACCATGAGGCTCACAATCTTGAACTTTTACAGTTAACCTCCAAAAGGCCTGCCCCATGGAGATTACCAGAAGGTCATCTATTCCTTTGGAAATATTCAATACCTGACCACTAAATTGCAGGTTTTCTGTTATCTGCGTTCACCATCTCTACCCCCTACCCCCTAAGAACCCTGGACAGTTTTGCCAAAAGGCAGCAACCCACCATCCACTTACAAGTTCATTCCCCATTGCTTGACGGTAAGCTGTTCTGTTCCCGGATATTCATGATGAGTTTCTCTCTGCAGACACTTCCACTACCTCTTCTTCATGATCGTGGTCTTCCTTCGGATATTGGGTTGTGTGGTCTTCCACCTGCAGTACATAAACCCGGACTTCCTCGTGGACACTCTACCCATGCTGATGAGCAGAAGCAAGTTGAAGTGGCTGAGGGACATACTGTTCCCCTTCCTTACGCTAGAGGTGGAAGACGTTCTACCACACTAGCGGCAGGCGATCCGCCAGGCCTCACATTGCACCTCCAATGTTGGGGCTGGGGCTGGGGCCCTGTGTTGGTGATGGGGGGGGGCAGGAAGGAAATGGCTATGACTCAGGGCCTCTATGTGACAGCTGAGTTTTATATGTTAATTCTCTCCTAGAGTGTCTCTCTGAGAATACAGAATGCGTTTGATCAGAATTCACTGTGTTGGTCTGTGCATCCTGGGGCCTTTCTTATGTAGTCACAAATTCTCTGTTCTCTTCAGACAAAGCAAAAAGAAAAACTCCCCTGGGACTTCCACTTTCTGCTTCATTTTATTAAATAAAAAATAAAATCACATGTAAATTTTCTAGATTCTCAGTCCTCTAGGGAGGCATGCATGAGGACATCCATGGAACTAGACTTCGTGGAAGACTTTAAGCCTTACATTAACAGCATACTCTCTCCCTATGGCTCTTTGTGCTAGCTTAAAAGAGTGGGGTTCTGACAAATATGACCTTTTTCTTATACATAGGTAACTACTCATTCTTAAATAATTCAAAAAAGCAAATTCAAGTGTTACTAGAAGTAAAATTGATAAAATACTTGTAAATACAGCCAAATAGAAATGTGTACTTTTAGATACAGCTAAGCAAATATTTTTATTATCAAATCCTACCCTCTTATTCCTTCTAACTGGAGACGCCCATTCCCACCTTCCACCAAAAGCTTCTAGAACCTTCTCTGGGTTTCCTGTAGTCCCCCTGTCTTATATCCTCTGTCGCCGTTCCTAAGTGCTCTGACCTTGAGACAGGTGTCATCTTTATTTCTGACCAGACGTCACACAGTCACTTACCAAAGTGACATTACAAAGCGGGACTTAGGAAGAGGATGAGTGACCCCTTTTCCAGCACATCTAGGGGCAACAACTTAAAACCATGAGGCTAGCCTGGCGTTACAAGAGTGGGTACTTTGAGGAGCACCGAAGAAGCGCTGGTGCCTCAGAAGGAAGGCGGGGAGGGACACAGGTGAAAACAGAAGGTCACCTCTTCAGCTGGCGGAATTGCTATTGTTACAGAAGCTCCCACAGCACAGGAGCCTCTTTTTGGCGCTATCTTTCGGCACAGTCCACAAACTCTTGCTTCCCGGGGCGGGGGGGGGGGGGGGGGTGTTCTCTTTTAAGACTCACTCTTGATAGAGATTTTAACGGTTTTATTCGACCACATTGGAATAAAGGCAGAAACATTGTTTTTTTTGTTGTTGTTTGTTTGTTTGTTTTTTGTTTTTTTGTTTTTTGTTTTTGTTTTTGTTTTTGTTTTTGTTTTTGTTTTTTTTTGGTTGCAGACATGATCCTATCTCAGGTTTCCTTTCTGGGGCCTAAAAAAGTATGAGTAGTCTCTGAATTTTGAGTACAAACTTTAGAGGACTACTGAGAACTCAAGAACAATGGCAGTGGGTTTTTGATCCTACTGCACGTACTGGCTTTGTGGGAGCCTAGGCAGTTTGGATGCTCACCTTACTAGACCTGGATAGAGGTGGGCTTCCCACAGGTCAGAGAACCCTGATTGCTCTTCGAGCTGATGAGGGAGGGGGACTTGATCGGGGGAGGGGGAGGGAAATGGGAGGCGGTGGCGGGGAGGAGGCAGAAATCCTTAATAAACAAATAAATTTAAAAAAAAATAAAAATCATTGACCAGCTTGCCTGGTTTTAATTCCCAAAAAAACAAACAAAAAACAAAACAAAAACTGACCAGCAGCGCCCTCTTGTGACCAAATGAAATGAAAGCGTTGTGCCACTTCATCCGTCTTCATCCAGCTAGCAAGTTGAAGAAGGGATGATTCTTAATCTCTGCTTTCTAATAATTTGATTATTCATTACTCATGCGTTCGGTCAATAACTTGAAAAAAATCATCGAACAACATTCTTGGGCTAGCCGGTATTCTAAAAAATTTAATTAGGATAGAAGAAAAGAGACCAAATTCTTCCCAAATCATAGCTGGTAGGCAGACAATTTGATATACAAAGATCAGATGCTGTTGAGATAGAACCAAGTTAGGTAGCTGGAGCAGGGGAACTGGGCAGGAGTGTTCGCTGACAAGGTGGCATTATAAGAGAGAATTGGAGGGGGTGAAGGAACTGTCTACATGCCAAGGGGAGCGATACACAGAGATTCAGAAGGCCTTCCGAGGATTCCCTGCACAGCCCCATTAAGACAAGTCTGTTATGGGAATCCCAAGTTTCTTCTGGTTCCTTCCAGGACAGGGCCCAGGCCTGAGACCTTCTATGCTGCAGCTTCAGCATTTGGGGCTTGGGTTGGCAGTTGTGTGTCAGCTTGACCCATGAGCTAGAGTCATTGGCAAGAAAGTAGTCATAACTGAGAAAATCCCTTATGAGGCTGGGCTGTAGGAAAGCCTGTCGGGCATTTCCTTAAACAGTGATTGATGTGGGAGGTCCCAGGCCATTGTGCGTGGTGCCATCCCTGGTGCCTGAGCTCTGTAAGTGAGCAGACTGAGCAGCCCATGGGAAGAAAGCCAGTGGGCAGCACTCTTCCATGGCCTCTGTATCAGCTCCTGCCTCTAGGTTCCCACCCTACTTGAGCTCCTGCCCTCTGTGCTGCTGCTGCTGCTGAACTGTCCTATGGAAGTGCGAGTGAAATAAACCTTCTCTCCTCATGTTGCTCTTCGTCATGGTGTTCCAGCGCAGCAATTGTCTGTCCTGAGAAAGTTCTTAGTGTGGCCTGCTCTGTCAGTATTTTGTATATGCTTACTAGCTTTTATTTGCATGTTTTCCTGATCATATTTTTCTGAATGCAAACGATCTTCCTTGGATCGTGACTTTCTTTGTTACATTCGTGTGTAAAAGCCCACTGAAACCCAAGTAACGTTGTCTACAGCAGTAGCCTGCATTCTGTCAGTTCTTTCAGGTCCTCAAAGCCCAGGTCTTACAGACAGATCTGCACAGGTCTGTGAAAGTCGTACAGGTGGGTAATATTGACAGAAGCAATGCTCAGAATAATGGGGATTTAGGTGAGGTCTGGCTTCACAGAAGAGCAAAGATTACCCGGTTATTAACATCCATTCCCAGCCTTCTTGGTAGAAAGAAGATGCACACCCTTTCTGCTGAAAGGAAAAGCCTGTGTGCTTAACATTCCTGGTTTCTCCAATGCTTGTCTGTGAGCGTGTGGCCCTCTGCACATGTCTCCACACTTCCTCTTCCCACCTGAATCGCAGAGTTATCCTCAGGTTCTGAACTTGCTGGTTCCTTGATTTGGATTGCCCAGACTCTAAAAACCATTGTCTGCTGGTTCTAACCTACTAGGCCTGTGGAATACCGGGCTTTTCTTTGGGGCCGCCAACTAGCTTCCAAACCAAGACCTGGAGACTTCTCGTTAGTTATGAATGCTCGGCCTTTCTTATGCTTGTTCCACTAGCTCTTATACCGTAACCTGTTTCTCTTCATCTAGATTTTGCCTCGGGGCTTTTTATCTTTCTTTCCTTCCGTTTCTCGTCCTTTCACTGCTTCTTGTGTCTGGCTGACTGACAGCTGCCAGGCTTCTGGTCCCATGGGGTGTCTCCCACTTTCTCCCGTGTTCTCTCTTCCTTCTTCTCAAGCCTAAACTGTTCCTCCTATTTATTCTCTCTGCCCACCAGCCCAGCCTATCCCTCTCCTGCCTAGTTATTGACTTTTCAGCTTTTTATTAGACCAATCAGGTGCCTTAGGCAGACAAAGTGAACCATCTTTTCACAATTAAACAGATGCAGCATTAACAAAGACAGCAGTAACAAACGTAACACATCTTTGTCTAGCTAAAATAATATTCCACACCACTATGGTATTTTGCAATAACAAGTCATAGAGATTTTGGCTCCTTTAAGAATAATAGCCACTGGTTTGAGATTGCTTTAGAGACCTAAATGGTACATTTGCAAGTTAATTTGGAGGAATATACAGTGCATTTTGTTCCTTAGATTCTTCTTGGATATAATTTTGTGCCTCCTTGACCAAACATTTACATTCAATTAGAAGGCATATTTTTTTCTTGTTGGATGTCAGAACATAACTATAGAACCCAGCCTGATGAAAAGATATTCTGAATGCTGTCCTTAGTGTACCTGAATCTGCATATGGTTTTCACGCTTTCCCGGATAGAGTCTATGTGCTGGGCAATTGTGTTTAAATTGGTCTGTCCTGAGAAAGTTCTGAGAAAGGGCTGCTGTATTAACATTTAGTATGCGTTCACGTGTGTGTGTGTGTGATGTTAAAGCAGAGGGTTTGAAATGGCTAAGCCAGCCTGTTATTGAGTCTCTGCCACCATGAAGGGTGAGTGTGACGTGCAAAGAGAGAAATGCACGCATGACTGGGGCAGTTAATCTTAAATCATAGATCATTTGCCCAAGAGGAAAATGGGGAGGCCTTGATATAGAGAACTAGACAATATGAAGATCCCAAAATGACTCTAAAATCAAGGACTAAAACTACATTCTCTCCAATCAGACAGTCTCAAGATCTCTTGGGACCTGCTTTGATGTACAGACACATTAAAAACTTTAAAATCTAACGTCTAGCTTCCGCCAATTGGATTTTTCTCCTATCTTAAAACGATGACAGTGGTCTTATATGTTCTACTCTTAAGTACGGGGCATGTCTCCCCTGTGCTTTTTTTCCTGCCCTTCACTCATGATGTCAAAAGCCTCATGACACTAAGGAGTCATTTCCAGTCAGAGAGAAAGAGTTTGGCGTATAATTGAATTTTCAATGAAGTCATTATTCTCTGTGTGCTCTGATGTTAATCTTAATTGAGGGGCTATTTTCTCAGGCTCTCTGGATGAGAACATCCGTTCTTAGGGTTCTGGGAAATGTTTCTGCAACCCAGTCGGATTATCTCACCTCCAATCCTTACTCCAAATACATATTCGGTGTCAAAGATGTAGTTTGTTCTCTAATTACTGGTCCATAGTTACTTGGAATCTGGTTGTTATGTTTGTTTTTCTTTTTCCTAAAATTGAAAGAAATTTAAAAATGTTAAGA